ATTGCTGTTCTGAGCAGAAAGATTTTGTCATGTGGTTTCTGTCTCTATACCATGACAGTGGGTTGGGTCTAGTTGTGGGTTTCTTGCAGATTCGTAACTCACTGATATCCCCAAAATGCGCCATCACTTTCAGAAGAGAAACCCTTCTACAGCACAGAATAAATAACCAGGTGCACTATTTCCCAGGACTGAGGAAGGCAATGGTATTTATATGCCTTGTGAAGAAACTGGGGGAAAAAAGCACACTACTATTTTTTGGCTTTTGAATCCATGTATGTGGAAACAAACAACCATGAACATTTGCCACTTGTCCACGTTACTTACGGTTGAGAGGCAGGCTGGCATTGGTCGTCCCTAGCTTGTTGGCAGCGACACATGTATAGTTGCCAAAATGCTCTTCTGTCACATTGGTAACAGTAAGAAGTGATCTTGTACTATAATTTTTAATAGTAATTCCTTGTTGACCATTGATCAGTCTAGAAAGCAAAAAGAAAATTTCTGTAACTCATATATCATAAGCAATAATATTTTTTTTTCTTTTTTTTTACAGACATAACTGGTAGCACAGTAAGCTGTTTGCAAGCTGCCGACGTAGTCACTTGAGCAAAATTATCATAGCGGCAGATCAAAGAGGCCATGGGCAACACTGGAGCTGTGGGTGCTGAGGGGAACAGCTTCTGCCTGTGCGTCCCACAGTCAAAGGAAAACAAAGACCGAGATCCATGTCCCTGCCTGCCTGGCCATAGGATAGGGTATAAACTCTCCGATGGAGAGCTTAGATTTTAAACTGCACAAGCCTAACTAAAGACTTAAATACCCTATTTGCAGCAGAAAAGTATTAAGGTAAGTCAGAGAGTGTTTTTTCAGACTCTGGAGGTTGCTCACGTCCTTACACACTGATGGCAGATGAGGATTAGGTAGCCAGAAACGTGACTATGTAGGACTGTGACCACAGTTTAACTTAGAGGCCCCTACAGCTACAAATTAGACTTGCAATTAGGAAAGATGTGCTACAGCAACACTGCCTCCTGAGACAGCAAATTGAACAGAAATCAGGTAACAAAGCGTAGGGGAAAGGGCTCTTTTCCCACCCCAAATTTCATAGGAACTGTGCAGGTCTTTTGATGTGGTTTTCGAAGGCACGTCAGAAGCGCTGCTGCTGCGCTGGGGCAAAGAAAGATGACGTCCTTAAACATTGCTGTTATAGCTAAACCTCATCTGATCAAACAAGATGAGAAGGGTAACCACATTATTAAAATACTAGCTACGGTCGGTTACTCATCATTCGCTATACTTCACATAAGGAGCAGAGTTCCAGATTAAGTATACAATTTTTGTTTGATATATTGAAACATATATATCCCTGGAATGAATGCAGTCTTTTAGCATTCTGTCTAAAAACGTTTCAAGTCTATCATTAATTGCACTTCTGCATATCATGGATTGGATACTTCTCATTGTTGCATGAGTGCCTCTGTTCCCATTTAATCAGTACATGCTGCTGCGCACGCAGGTGGTTGCTCTTCCCTGTGAAGTTTATGTTGCTGTAAAGATCTGGTCTGTTCTGCATAGCCCCTCATCGGGCAGAGGACATAGCACATCCTGTGGACACAGGCGGTTTTGTGAGAAACATAAAAAAATGGGATTGAAATGCCTGCTTTGTGGTGAATGCTGCAGATTCACTTTTTATCCAGACTTGTGAAAGGCAGAAGTTTGTCCTTTCAACCTATGCATGTGCTTCTGCACATGGATCTTCTCATTCTAAAGCTGCCCATGTCTGTCCCTCCTCTTTCTACCTCTCTTGCAGAAAAACCCAAGAGCCTCCTCCGCTCCAAAACACACCCTGCTGCAACACTCCCACACCAGCATGCCACGGCTCGCAGCTGGTGATGATGTTACCAGTGTGGCAGCATCTGATGCTCAGAAGCTTGCTCCAGCCCCAGGTCGGATGCTTCCCTGAGGATGCCCCCTTCCCTCGGGGAGGGCACCAGCTGCAGCCATGGCCACTATCCCTTCCCGCTACCTTTTGGGCTTTGAACCCCCCCACCTCCTCTCCCACCCCTCTCCCAGGGGACCTTGGCGTACCAGGGTGATAGGCTTATTCCTACCAGCTCTTTCCAAGCCACCTGCATCCTTTGGGCCGATAACTGCAGCTTGAACCACAGCTGTAAGGTTTAACTCAATTTTTTTTTTTGATCCAGAAAACAATGGGCGGTTGGGGTTTCTGCTGTCCCCATGCTCTGTCAGAGGTGACATTCACATCAAAAAATTAAGTGCGCCTGCCTGATGTGATCTGCTGCCTTCCCCAGGCTGCCGAAAGAAGAAGCGCTGGGGATGCCAGCTCAGACCCCTCCCCCTCCTCAGCTTGCCCTCCCTCTTCTCCCACCACTCCTGCCAGCCTGGTTGGACAGCATCACTGTCCCTCCACGTCCCTGCTAGGAAGTGGAGGACACTGAGGGGCCAGAACTGGAAGGGGAGTAAATGGAACCAGATAGATCTGCATACCAATGAGCCACATAAATAACGGACCAAGGAGTCGGCATTAGTTAGCATAAACTCAGCGGTTTTGAGGATTTCCATTTGCAGCTGTAAGAACCAGCTGCTTTTACTTTTAAATTAATTACTCCCGCGTGCTGCTCTGCCTGGCTTATTGACTGAGCACAGCGCTCATGGCTCCTCTGGGTTTTACCAAGTTACTCTTAGACTGGAACGGCATTTTAAGTTGTGCGCAGCCACCCTACGCATTTCTTCACCTTACTGCGTTGTACCACTAGTCGTAAAGGGAAGAGCAATCTCCTTTTTATTCCAGAGATTACGCCAACGCCTCTCCCAAAGAAGATCATGCACCAGTGCCAGCCCCGAGGGGTACCTACCTTTGCTTTCATATTTGAATACCTTCACCTTATTATAATATATTAAGCCATTATAATGAGTTTTGCTATTTCAAATGTAAGTCTTGTTTGCTTTGTCAAGGATAAGGGAATTAATATCTTCAGATAGGTGACTTTTGGGCTTTTTCCCTGTGGCTGTTTAATGTCTGATCTAATTTCTGCGTAACCCTGTAACATAACATAATTGAACTGTTGTGAGTTTCAGAAGCTGGGAGGCAGCATGGCAAAGCCACCTTCTTCTCTGCAGGGAATCCTCGTACAGTTTTAGAAGCCAAACACTTTTATAATTTTAAGATGCTTTTACTACCTTTCCCCCCAAATTTCCAGTCCCTCGTTAATGTGATGCAATGGCACATTTTGTGTTTCTAATCGGGATTTACCCCACCCACATGCAGTCACTGTGATGACGCCTGTCACGGCTCACCCCACCCTCCCTGTCTTGGGGTACGGTCCCCAGGAGCAGGTGCTGCTGCCCCAGTCCCTGGGCATGGCTGGCAACGCAGAGCACGTGCAGGCTCGGGGTTTGCGCAGCCAGCTGACAGCTCCTGCGTGGAGTTCAAGGCACTGCTTTTGACAGATAAAGAGCTAAATGGGCTGAAACCCGGCTGTGAGACCTCTCCTTGCATTTCCCCAGCTATAATGGGAGACCAGAGGGGTTCAGCCTACCCGCTCCCTGCCTTGGGGAGCCACCCAGCCTCCCACGGGCTGCAGCTCTTGGGCTTCGGGTTCCTCACCTTGTAGTTGGCTTGGGGAAGACCACTGCAAAGCACGGTTGTGCACCAGCGCTTATGGGAAGTTAACAAGCAGCAGCCCTTGTGAGCTTGGTGATTAGGTAGAATTAGTCTTACAAGCACTCTGCCTTGAAGACCAGTAGTTTTAACTGGATGTAGTCTGCAACTGCTTTTATGTTTAGTTTTAACGGCTATTTTATGATGATATGATCCCTTGAGTCTGGAAACTGTGGGTTTGGATTTACATTAATCTAAGTAACAACAATATAGTTTACATACCCAAAAGGCTTGTTTCAGACACTGAACATATACTTAGGGCTTCAGATCTAACTCCCACTGTTCATTTATTCAACAATTCATCCACAGCTAAAAAAAAAAAAAGGTCCCAATCCAAGACTAACTGAAGAAAACAAGATTCTCTCTATTCTATTAGCAGAAAACATAGCAGGGTGTGCACTCCCAATATATAAATTTAGTCTTGTAGTATATCTACAAACTATCTGCAGGATAACATACATGCTTCTCTGAACTACCTATGAGAGCTGATTCTTCTCAGTTTCGCATTAAAACAATGACTGAACTGTCCAATGCTCATTCTGTGCTGGCTTTCCATCATCCAGAGGTAAAGCGGATATGGTGAGGAAAAATCCCACGTATATGTCTTTTCCTCTTTCCTGCCAGTGATGGAGGTTCTGAGATCCCCAGTACCTTTGTAGTCACATGTGTCTAGCCTATCTGCCACCAACAGTTTAAGAAAAAAGGATAGACCATTAGATTTAAAGTAGTTTTTGAGCAGTACGACACAATAGGACAGTACATTTCTTGCTGATTATAGCAAGCCACAGGTGATACACCAACTGAAACAGAAAACAGAAGGCACAACTTTGGTGTCCTGAAACGCTCTGCTTAGCCTTTCCTGCTGCTGCCATGGCACTGAACGCGCTCACGAAGAAAGGAATTGGTCAATAGAAAGGTGATTATCACGCTGGAAAGGGCTAATTGAATCCAGAGTGCTAAAACCTGCGGTACAATGCTTTCTACATGAAATACATTTCTGCTGCAACTCTCCCCAATGTATGTATGATATAATACACATCTTTGGAAATAGGATGCAGATGAATTTCACAAACAGAAGAAAAACATTTACTGTTCTATATAGTAAAGACCAATTATATTGTTTTAGAGAACGCTTTAGGATATGGTCAAAGTGCTATAGTTAACAACTGCTCTGAAGAAGTCAGGAAGGAAGGTGAGCAGCTAATGCTCCTGCAGGGGAGCAGCTGGCCAGTGAGAAACAAGCTGACAGATGGCTTTCTATGAAAAACAGTCATTAATATTCTCATGTCAGCTCCCAGGTTTAATGGGATGTCTGAGTTGAGAAACCCAACTCTTGAAAGCCAGGAAATTCCCGAAGCTAGAAGGTGTGTGTGGACAGTCACTTACAAGGGACAATATTCACTTGCTTTTGCACCAATTTGAAAACTTAACAGAAACGAGTTCTTAGATAAGCTAAGAGCTGTAAACCAAAGTTTCCTGCTCAGAAAGCAAAATATCTGTTTAATGAGCTGATTTTAAAAATAAAGATGACCCTACAGAGATGCCTGTTACCATTACAAAGCAGTAATGATCTGAAAGTGAAGCTGACTGTAAACAAAACCAAAGCACACTCAGGTTTTGGGATTCGAGCAGACAGTGCTCCCCTCACCCCCTCTTGGGTGCTGTGACGTGCAGCAGCTCTGCTGAAGTCTGTGCACTATAAACCTGTGGTCCAGACCAGCAATGGCACAACTGGGTGAAAATTTGTACACATTAAGTTTTGGTTGAAAGTCTTGTTCACGAACCAACCTTCCTACCTCCAAAACCCTCAGTGGGAAACCTATGAAGACAAATTTAAAAGAAAAAAAAAATCCTTTTAGTAGATTTTTCCAGTGCCCTTCTCGTTATTATTCTTAAAAGGTTGTAATTACTAAAGCACGTTTAAATGTTAGGCTCATTATTGCAATTATCACTATCACAGCCCTGCCACAGCCAATCTGCTTACATCTCGTTTTTGAGCACAGAACCATGACCACAAGGAAACGGGGAAACTCCCCCAAAGCCGCGCGGCATGGCTGTTGGTAGTCGACACCTTTGAGCACCTGCTGTTTAAAGTTCGGCATTAGTTTCAGGTCAGCCTGCTGGACTTGTCATCACGGGGAACAAACCCAGCCCAGAGGTCTCCTCTCTCTTCCACCCGGGTCCCCGCGGGTGGGCAGCAGCCCTGGCAGCACAAGGGGGTCGGCAAGCGCCAGCTACTTACTTCCTCTCTCCTTTGTACCACTCAAAGACTGGGGCAGGAACTCCTGCACCTTCGCACCGTATCAGTCCATTCCCTCCAAGCATCACACCGCTGGATTTAAGTTCCTGAATTGTGGGGGCAACTGAAAAAAAAGAATTGTAAAACGGACATTTGCATCTAGATATGCAGACTGTTTAACGCCGCTTCTCTTGAGCACGCTCTATGTCACTCTCAGCCTGGTGCATGTTTTCCAGCTTGATTCACATTCAATCACGTTTTCTTCCAGCAGTGTAAAAATTATCCCACACAGCAGATTCTGATATATATTCTGCGTATCTGGTGTAAAAAACACAGCTGAGACATGAAGAAATATCAATCCCATGCTCAAAAAGCTGTTTTTGCAGATCAGTTACTCAACATAAAGTATAACTATTTATAAGCATTGGTGTCATACAAGATGCATTTAAAACCTGAGAATGGGAAAACAAAGCATGTGAAGCCCCAACTGTGGTGCCAGCCGAGTGGCTGGGGGGTCCTGCTGGGCTTGGCCTGGGGGATCCACCCCAGCTGGGGAGCGATACGGCAGCGCCGGGGGTGCAGGTTCTGAAGTAAAGACAGGGCCAGCACCACTTATCTTCTGCGTCATGTCTTCTGCATATGCCCCGTAAACCCCACAGGCTCAGATGGCCTTTGAGATCTCGTTTGGCACATTAAAAGAACAAACTTACCTCCGCAATTATGAGCCAACTGTAAATACTATATGACAGCATCACTCTTCCAATGTTATACTGGGTATAGGGTTGTTACAGTAAATATATTTTGTCTTTTTAAAGAGTAAACATTGTAAATAGCAATAAACATTTTAAGCTTAGAACTACAGGTACAAGTAAAGATCAAAAGTGATTGTCAGTTTTTCCAGCTGCCAGCAAAAGCTGAAAATAAGACACAACAAACTCCTCAGGAAAGAGACTATCAAAGGAAAGGGTGCACAACAGTCACCTTCTCCCTGGAATTTCTTTTACATTTTCTGTTTTTAAACAATAATTTATGTGCATCATAAAAATGCTGTAAACACCAAACCACAGAACTTATAAATAAAAACCTGCTTACTTTTTCCCAAGCAGTTTTCCAGATGTTGCTTTAAGGTGTTTATGTACATGTAAAATGCTGACTGCCTCTCCTCTGCTGCTTCACCATCTCCCTCCCCGGCTCGGCGCACCACGTTAAGAGACCATCATCTTTCACAGGACCCAGCCACAACAAAGAAGCATCAGGTGTATGAAAGAGCAGCGCGACAGCCAGGTTCCCATGTGGGCAGGTCAGCTCCGTCACACGCTCGTCCTTCACCAACACCATCAAGGGCTGCTTTTCCGGATGTGCGCGACATTGCACAGGATTCCAGCTGTCACAGCCCCAATGCACCCTCTCAGCGCTTAGGCACAAGTCTCAATGTTGAGCGAAACAAAACTGTGCGAGGACGTTTTGGCTGGGATTAGCCAGAGAACTGGTTCTCTCTCACCCATTGCTCATGTCTGACCCTGAGTCAGGCGGGCAGATGACGATTTCCCACAGCTGGCAAACACACCCTCTGCCTTCGACTTTCTCTTCCCAATGATCACATCAAATCAATCCATAAATTCATTAACTTTCAACTGGTAACATTAAAATTTCAAGTGGATAATGAATGTATAACCAATTTGCATGACTACTTCTCTACAATCTGCAAAGGAAAAAAGTCAGATTTTTTTTTTGTTATTCAATAAAAATAGCAGGGCCATACAAAGCTTACTGCTTTCTGAGAAACGAAGTGGCTTTAAAAGTCAAGACTTATAAAAAATGATTTTGAGTGAGACTGATCCCACAAAGAGCTGTGAATCTGTCACATTTTGCCTCTGCTCCTACAGCACCGTGTCCCACCAGCAGCTGCTCAGAGCATCACAAAGCTCAGAGCTCAGCTTGTGCTTCTGAAAAGTTCAAAAGCATACTCCTAAAATTGCGCAAGATAAACCATACAAAAGCAAAACTTGTGCGAGAAAAATCGTACAAAAGCATCATCTGAATGATGCAAAGGCCTGAGTCATGTAGAAAGTCGTTTTCTAAAAACTACCACCTTCATGCTTCTCAGCGTGGCCTGCTTACCTCCTGTTTGGTGTTCTGTGGGGTTTTTTTAGTTTGGTTTTTCTTGGCTGTTTGGTTTTTAAATAAATGCAGAACATCACTGGTAATAAATTTTAAAATTAAACATTCCATAAAAAGGTACAACTTGCCAGTGCTTTTTCAGGCAGGAGCCCCAGGCACTGTGCTCCTGGCGCAGCTGGGAAGGGGGTGCCGGCTGGGTCCCAGCTACAAATCACAATTCTGGGCTTTGCTGTCTGGAAAATTTCTGAAAAGGAAGTTTTCTTAGATCTCCCTTTCAGGAGGATTTCAGCTTCTGTTTGTTCAGAATAAAAGTGAAAATCAATATTGTCTGCTCTAGGAAATCCCCGGTTAATACTGGTATGAAAACACAAACTGAAGACAGCTTAGAGCTACTGTTCTGTTAGATACTTCATTGTCACGTTATTTTTCTCGTTTTCAGTATAAAGACAAACTATGTGATGCCAGCACATTTCTGGTGCCCTGATTAGTAATGTGCTGAGCCAAAAATCCATCAGCCCCTACTGCTCCCATCAGTGTGGAAGACTGAATAAGTCCAGATGAAATTACACACCTAAAATACCTACTGATCCCGTTGCCAAGGTCTGTTTTGGAGAGGAAAGAGACAAAGACTCAGGAAGAGATGCTCGGGCCCCCACCATTTCGTCTGTTTTTTAAATGTTTTTCTATGTAGTTAGCTATGACTCATTTTTGAGAAGCCATTCACGGTTTGATCTAATTGCTCTCAATCATGCTGTCGCTGTCTGCGTTCTTGTGCTGCTGGGGCTGCACGTGCTTTCTGCTATATAAAAGATTTTGAGGTTGTAACAATCAGAAGGAATACTATATCGATCTAAATACATGTAATTTAGCAAGAGGAAACCTCATATGTTGCGTTAACAAGTTCTCACAAGGTTCAATTCAGTTCTGCCTTCACTGTTATCCAATACACATTGTTTTTTTGATGAAGAACCTCCCTAACACCAGAGTTGCCCAGTACAGCGGAGATGGGCAAGATCCGCCAGGGTAAGAGAGCGACGGAGGCTGACAACACCCTGCCTCCACCCGGGGCTGCCAGGCAGGTGTTTGGGAGTGGTTATAATAAATATACAGAAAAGAACACCATTTTTCCTCCCAGGCAGCACCTCAAGAATTCAGAAAATTCCTGAACCAGACACGGTGATGCTTCCCTGACCTGTTCCTCTCCATTGTGACAGGTCTCCACGTTTCGCAGCAGTGACCATCCCTTCCTGATCACCTCCGCCTCATTAGATCCTCCTGCAGCTCTTTACAGATCTCTTGGTTTTCTTCTGCATTGCTGATAAACTTGCCAGCCTTCTGCTGACACCCTTTCGTAGGGTGTTTTGAACAGTGTGGGGAGGCTTGCAGCATGCTCCCCTCCCTGCAGAGCGACCGGGGGATCTGAGCCTTCTAAATTACTGAGGGGGATGATGTAAATCCTGCCCAATCCCAAAGGCCATTAGATGCCTTCCAAAACCCCCAGCAGGTTTTCTGCAAAGCCACGAGGAGCACTCCCAGCACCCCCAGCACCGCTGCCCTCATGGTGGCAGGGAACATCACCCAACGTGGCTGCTACTGGCTTTTGGCAGTTGCTTAGGGAACCAACAGCAAGGATAAGTATTAGCCACCTAGGAAAATGTTTCCATTCAGGAGTTCAATAGCGATGACTTAAGCTATTACAGAAAACTGTTCAGTATCGTTATCGATGCAATCCTGCTCTATGCAGCTGATTGATCAAGAAGATGGCAGCGAAAGTCCTGCATGGGCAATAGAAGGCCAGGGATAAACACAGCTGGACACAAGCTTAAAGACCTGATGAAATTTTAAAAAGGTAAAAAGAGCGAGCAGCTTCAATAAATTTTAAATAAAGTAATTATAGCTGGAAAAATAGTGGAAAAACGAGAGAAAATTTGGTTAAAGATTCTACACAAAAGAATCCAGTGCTGAAGGGAGGCAGGGGGTCGGCAAGGCTCCAGCAAGCCTTCCCTAAATCCGCAGCCTCCACAGCTGAAGGCTTTACCAGGTTTTCCCCTCCACAAGTTACATGGGAAGAGATTCCACTTGTGTTGCAGAGACACAGACATGCTTCTGAGTGTGTGCAGAGGGCCTTGTTATAAATAATAATAAACACACAAGCTAGCAAAAAAATAATAACTTGTCTCAAAGGTATAGAGCACCAGCAGAGTGAAACCATTGACCTGGCAGAGCCTACCGGAAGAAGGAAGGAGGTGATGGCCAGAGCTCCTAAGGGGGAGAATATCGTAGAAAAGTTAGTGGTCTGACAGAAGATGCTGCAGTGAAATGTAACAGTGACATTAACAAGAAAACCTTGGGTAAGACTAATAATTTTAAATCTATTTGTCGGTTTTATATCTCCTAAATAACGGTTATATAAAATAACAAAGAAAAAAAAGAATATGATTATATAAATTGGTCAGCAGTACTGGGCTTTTGTGACTCATATTTGTAAGTTTACTCTCCCTATGGCAGATCCTTGTTCAATCCTCTCCCACAGTTGACCCCTGCAAAGCACAGCACTTAAAATAAATGCTTCATTTCTGACTTGAAAATAAATTACTGGAACTTAATATCAGTTTCTCAAATATGTGTAAGTGCTTTGCTGGGGAAGACTTTTTTGAGTGGGCGCTCAGAGACTCACCTTAACTGGGGTTTTACTAATGCCCTTTTGCGTTTGTCCCTATATGAGATGGCTCAGGAGGTAAGACTGCTCTTGACCTCAAATACGTATTTATGATCCCCAGAAAATACATATTTCTGTATCCCACCAGAAGGATTTGACCTGAGGAGCGTGTGAGTGAGGAGAACCAGACCCGACAGGCAGCTATGTGCCACAGGTTTGGTGTCACACCAGGGGAGTCACACCAGTCTTACCCAGCAAAGCACGGCATGCCTCTGCACCGCCCAGCACTGCCACACACCCAGCTCCTATTGCTTACTGCTAAAACAGCACGGGAAAAGTACAGC